CAGGTGCAATGGCTTATATATTCACCTGGATGTGTTTAAAAAAAAAAAAAAAAATATATATATATAAAATCTATATCCAAACCTGTAAGTCAGCATTATACTCTGCATTCTCTGCATTTGAGAGCATGTACATCAAAAATTTACTTTTTTTGGGCTACCAACCCCACATCCAGCCCCAATGCTTGGCCTGGGCACACCTACCAACTCCTCCACCGTAATGACAGAGTGGCATACACTGCTTCTTTCAAGTGACATCCTTCAGACACCTGGTGGCCGTTCTGATATGTATACCCCTGATCAAGGCCTGGGCAGTTTCATAGGTGTTCTTAAAATGAACACAAAGATTTGAATCTCTTGATTTGTATGACTCTGTGGGGTTTTCTGGATAAAGAGAGCACTGATTTTCACTGATCACTTCAGGCCACATACAGAAAGGGCAAGTATGAAGTTTTCAAATGTACCACTAGTCTTAAAAACATACTGTAAAAAGACTCCATTTCTCTCTTTTACACCAATTAAATCCACACAGTGCCATCATTTCCATTTCTATCTTCTTTATGATGCTCCCACAAACCCTCAGATTTTCTTTTCTTTGAATTCCTTTAACATATACTACCTATGGTGCTTATTCTAATAATGGAGGATTAAGAGCAGAGACTGTAACTTGTAGTTCTTTTCCATTTGTTTCAAAATTCTTGCATTAATACTGGAAACATGGCTTATTGGAATATCATTCACTAAAAACTATCTCCACTGCTACAGCATGAGCTTTGGCATTCAATCAACAAATATTTATTAAGCACCTACCAAATGCTAGGCTCTGGTCTACGTACAGATGATAAAACAACCAAACTAAGGACATGCTCTTGTCTAGTATACGACAGATAATAAATAACGAAAATAAATTTGTAATTCCAGATACAGCAGGGATAAAATACTATTAAAAATATACAGCAAGGTAAGGGAAGATGACAGGAGGTGAAGAAAGGATTTAACTGTTATCTGAGATAGGGGCTTTAGGACAGCTGCTCTAATGAACATTTGGAGTGAAATAAAAAAGGACTCCACTCAGATATTTAGAGGAAGAAGATTTCAGATTGAGAAACTGGCAATCACAAAGACCCTGAGTTGAGAATATGCCTGACATGTCTGAGGAAATCAGCGTTTATGGCACCATGGAATGGTGAGGTGGCCAGGGACCAGATCACCCAGGGGCTTCCTGACATGGGAAGGACTCTGGATGTTTCCTAAGTGTGATGTGATGCCTGAAAGGAAGCAAGTATGTTTATTCTCTCCATGGAAAAGGGGCATAAGAACTTCTATCATATGTAACTGTAAAATACAAATAATGACTTACTGTGAATTATCTTCATTGTTTATTCTTTTGAGTTCCCGTATGTGAAGATTTCTGACTCTTTCCAAACGTTCAAGTTCTGCCTGGATTTCTGCCTCTTCCTGAAAATGAAGAGAGGGGACTATAACAAGCTCAATTTATTTGTAGTATAAAAAAGATATTTTTACCCATGCATCAATTTTTTACAGTGATGGGAAGAATAATGCATTATAAAGTACCACTGAGTTAAAGAAGACCAAAGTGTTCTTTTCAATGCCTGAAAGACAGAAAGAGATAAGGCAAAAGCCTATTTCAAGAAACCATCCTCCACATAAAAATCTATACCTAATGAGATGCTGCTGGGTTTTGTTCTGTACTAGAAGAAATCTATTTTTATAATGTCTATACTAAAAGCGACTACAAGGTAGTCTGATGCTGGCTTATAACACAATTTTTATTTCTGGTCCATGTGAATTTTAAATTAAGAGGGAAACATATATGAATACAAAATAATAAAATGATGATATTTTCTAATCATTAAAAGAGGAAGAAAGAAGACAGAACCAGTATATTTCTGGACCTTACAGTATTTGGAATGCAAATACACTCACATACAATCTGACCCCTCACTCACCCCTCCCCCTGTAATCTTAAACAGACATTAAAATAAAAAATTATTAATTGCTGTGGTGAATCCTCAGTTATCAGAGCAGATGTATGCAAGACCTAAAGAAATGTACTTCAAATATCATTTAACTTTTGTTTTAGACGTATTTTTCAGTTGCAAAAGAGACAATTTTTAGAAAAATGTAAACTAGACACCAAAACAAGCACACACATCACCCATGTCTTACTCTTTTAACACATACCTCCGTTAATATAAATTTGAATACTACTTAAAGATAGTCATAAATATGACAAATTTTGGTAGAAATTCTAGAAGTACTCAAATTTAAAAATATTTTTGAGTAAGAATTTGTGTAACAATACACATTACTTTATAATTATAAATCTAGACCAAACAGAATATAGGTTATTTGTAAATATTATATCTAAGTATTTCTCTTTTATTAGCTCCTTTGCTTTTCTTTTACTGATTTCTTAAAAAGTCTCTTACCTAAAAGTTAATAATTCTGAAATATATTAAAAATATAATTTCATTCAAATACAAAGAAAGATATAAAATATACTGGACCTATACAAAAGACTTAAGTTGAAAAGAATATTTTAAATTTTTTGCAAACAGATCTTCACAGATTATTTGTATTCCACTTAACTTTTTAAATTACTTTAAAATGAAATTTAACATTTTTTCAGCAATATTTAAGACAGATCAGGCATTAGATGACAAAGACAATTAAAGAAAAACCTTTCTAGAATGAGAAAATTTCCTAAAACAGACATACTAAGTAGATTGTCCTAATTTGACTGAAATGTCCTCATTTAATATGCTTCGGTCACAAATATTTCTTATCTTAATGAACAAAATGGTAAGGTGACACCTTAGGAGATTCAATAATCAAATATTCAATATGAATTAAAAAGCTTTAGAACAATAAAGTCAATATACACTTAGCTGTCTTGATTTAGTCATTTAAGACAGAATAAGAAACTGGTGATATAAGTATATCCAGGAGCATAGAAAAACTAAATTCATTTACAGCACAGAATTTAGAAAGTAGAATCATGTTCTCTTCATATTGCTAACATTTGATAGACTGGTGAAATTTCACATAATAATGAAATTAGGTCAAGCCTATTAGAATATCAGATGAGATGTTTGGTTTAGCTTTTACTTAAAGTTGTGTCATAGGGATACTATATCAATGCTGACAACATAAGTTAAACTTTATTGAGTTATAAATATGTAGACTTCAACTAGATTATTAATGCACATAATTACACTTGTTGTAAAATTTTCAGATTATCTATACAATGGTAGTACCCATTATCACAAAATAAAGCATGACAAATATGTTTCATAAAATCTTACAAAATAAAAACACAAATAAGCATCATTCATTTTGAACTGTTAAGATCACTGGAAAAAAATGTCAGAAGAACTTGGAGGAAATAGTAGTTTCTACATATTTAGGAAGAAATGTCAAAGGAAGGAATTATAACTGATTCTTACATACAAACAGACATAAATCCACCACAGTCAGTGAAATATGTTTACATATTTCAACATTACTATATTGTTGCTTAGTATTTTACAGTGTCTTAGACCTTAAAATAAAGTGACATTTTTGTGGGAAAGATAATTCTGCAACTCTAAGGAATTTTTCTCAAATACCACCAGAAAAAAAAAAAAAGGCATATATGCTGCTATGGATTGAATATTTGTGATCCTCTCAAATTTCACATTGAAGCTCTAATCCCTGAATATGATCATATTTGAAAATGATGCACTGGAAAGGTAGCTAGAATTAGATTAGATCATGAGCAGTGGGCCCTCAATGATGGGAACAGTGGCCTTATAAAGAGGGACCACCACCACTGCCACCACTACTTCTCTGGGGAACACAGAAACAGAGTCATGTGTAAACCTTCAGCAAAAAGCCCAGCCCTTCCAGACCTTAATCTTACTTTTAAGATGCTAAAACTACAGTATGAGAAAATAAATTTTTATTAAACCACTCAGTGTGGTGTTTTGTTATGGCATGCTGAGCATACTACTAGACATACATCCCTGTAAGCAAATGCTACAGACAACACTGTTTAGGGGAATGGCCTAGTTTTAAGTCTGGCTCTGTGGCACAACAGGCTAGAAAGTAGTAGTCTCAGTTAATTCATCTTTGGTACAGATCATTTCCTAGGGCCTACCCTGTAAGCTACACTCTTCTTGACTGTGACTGACATTAGCCTGTGAGGCATGCTCAGAATTAAATCTTTTTCAGAGGCTACAGGAGAAGTGAGGATGACCTGGGTTCATAATCACCACAAAATGGAATCTTCAAATTCATGGCAAAGCGAGGTCATATTAGTAGAATAAAAGAGATAATCCAACCAGCTAAACCTCATTGAGTAAAAATACTAAATATCAATCCTGAATTCATTCACTAGCTGAGCAGAGAAAAATCTAGAAAAAACAAAGACACAAATAACATCTGGAAATGAATTTGTTTCTGTAAGCAATTATAATATAGGAGGGATATGAGTTAAAATAGATTGAATTAAAGAGGTAGGTCTGGTGATCAAACACAAAATAAATAGCCATGTCTCTTTTCGGCTTAAAAAGAAAAATAACTGACAATTTAATAGTATATACCATAGCAATTTTAACAGTACTTTAAAATAAGCTTTGATGTTCTGAATTAGATAGTATAAAAAAACCAAGTCATTTATATACACAACAGACCTTAATATTGCCTCACTGTTTAAATCACCTCAAAAATACCTCACCTGTTGCAAAAACCCAACATTTTAAAATTTATTTATTTTTGGTACTGGGGATTGAACTCGGGTCCTCGTACTTGCAAGGCAGGCCACCGAACCGCTGAGCTAAATCCCCGGCCCTAAACTTTTTTTAATTTAAAAACATTTACACAGAAGATAAATCCACTATCAACTTCACTGAAACAATTTGTCTCTTACAAGATCTTCAGCAAAGAAATGTTATTTGTGATCAAAGTCTCTTTTGGTAACTCAATATTCCCTTGGCTCAACTTTCTAAGTCCAAAGTAGGTTGTAGTTTTATAGAAACTGTAAAATTACAGGTTAAAACCACTGGATGAATTTGGAGTGGGCATTTCCTATAGTTGCAGTTTTTCAAACTGTGGAGTGCATTGAAGCTATAAAGCTTAGTGATAATATGCATTTCACATGTAAACCAATAACACCTTCCCAGTTTAAAGTATGGCATGTTACTCCCCCACACAAAACAATTCAATTTGCAAAAACTGACTTATAAAGCCAAGATAAGATAGGAAGAATTTTATGTGTTTTTTGTGGAGCTAGGGTGGGGATCTACATGCTAAGCAAGTGCTCTACGCTCCCAGCTCAGGATGTATTTTGATACAGCATTCTTGGCTTGACTATAATCTATGAGAATTCGTGAAAGAAGATAATTTCTGTATATTATAAAAATGGTGGAAGCTAAGAAAAGCATACAGATTGGCACAGTCTGTTCAACAGCACCAAAACATTACTTGATGCTCAGAAAACTCAACATTTAAAAAAATTTAATGCCATATTCATTTTAGCAATAGGAAAAATGACTCCCTTAGAAGTTAACATCTTTAGGTCCTCAAAAAAAAAAAAGAAAACCACCAAAAATCCAATCTCTCAATTTCAAAAACTATACTACTTATAAGGCCATTTAAAAAATTTATCACTAGGAAAACAAAAGGTAAAATTAGGAAAAGGCACTATTACAAACTAAAAGAAAAAAGGGCAGTGTATTTAACAAAGAAATTAATGAGAAAATTAACAATTTATCGATACATGTCACTAGATCATAATCCTTCCCAAATCTGAAATATGGACAGAAAATATGAACCAACTAACAATCACCACCAAAAGACACCTACACAAAGCAGGCCTGAATTTATCTCAGTCATAAAACTACTGTCCTATAGTCATATTTTTGCTTTAGTATGATTATGTAGATTGAAGACAGGAGTAGCAGTAGAAGAGACAAAACGTATAAAGTTCTGCAGTGTTTTCTTTCCAAACTATATAAATATTCCGTTCATTCCCACACCATCACCAAACTGGTCATTATTGATGGGAGCATATAGAATTGTTCTTGGGTATACTCAACTACCTAAGAAAATTACCTTAGAACCTGTACTGTTAATGTTTTCCTTTATCCACACTTTACTTCTTTTAAAGAGAGAAGGGAATGGTGGTTTATTTTCTTCAAATGCATAAATATATACATCAAAACTCTTTATAGTATTAGGGCACCCAAGGCCTGATGGAGGCTAGAGTGCTTCACTATGGAGCTTTACTGCCAGTCCTTTTTATTTTTATTTTGAGGCAGGGTCCTGCCAAGTTGCCACAGTGGCTTTATATTTTAGGTCCTCCTGCTTCTGCTTCCTGAGTAGGTGGGATTACAAGCATTGCTCCTATATCCAGCGCCCTTTTTCTGTTTTTCAGTCCTGGGGACTGAACCTAT